ACATTGACAAAACAAACAAACAAAAAGATGTTTGTAATCATTTGATTAATTCAATTTTTGGACTCAGAAATCCTGTAACTTTATAAGCATAATGGAACTAAATCACTTGGGAATAATACATTATGTTGCCTATTTCTTCTCTCAGATAAATGTCTTAGTTATTTGCAGAAGTATCTGGCAGGAAATGAAGATGGCCACCACAGCCCTCTGATTGATGTCTTGCTCTTTTTTGTGGTATATCACAGTGTACATTCAAAAGGGACAGGGCTTTGATCCCAGGAGTGTGACAGCCATTTTGTTGTTTCCCTCTTTGTAAACACATATGATTATTTGCCAACAACAACATAATTAAATAGAGGACATTGATTCTATCCTCTACATTCAAAAGGCCCACTTTCAACCCATGTTTAAAAACTTTCTTCAACACAAAGATTTGCAATCTACTTTAAAGAAATATACAAAAATAAACAGGAAAGTTCAGATTAAGAATTATCAGGAAAAATTATTTGATGTGTTGTCATTCATCCCACGTAGTTGGGAACCTGAGAAGGAAAAAAAAAATCCTACAATATTTTCTCCATTAGTTCTTTGGTTTTGCCACGTCTCTGAGTCATATCTATATTTTTGTTGAAAAAAAATCAAAGGTTGGCTAAGGATTTCTTTGATTTAGGATGATGGTAAATCTTTTGGTCATTAGCAGAACTGCAAATCCAGATTGAAGGAAGCCTAATGCATTCTTTTAATCATTTTTTAAAATTGCAATGGGTATTTTTTACATTTTTGGCAATACAATTAGACTCCTGTTCTGTTTTTTCATCTTCAGTCTTGGCTGACCTACCAGTAGAGTTAAGACAGCAATATGAATGCCTGCCAGCCTCCCTGGAAGGCACTAAAATATCTTCTGTCTTTTGGGCATCATTCTATGAAAGCTGTTGATGTTTTTCTTCTCTCCCTTTCTCTTCAGCTGCGTTTCGGATGATTCCATAAAGCAGTACACATCAAAAGATCATCTGGCTAAACACTTTCAGGTCCCAGTGTTCAAATTTGTGGGCAAAGACAACAAGGTGAGCAAAAATTCAAATTCATGAATTTCGGGAGAGCTGACAAAGACAAAAGTCTATTGAAATGGACTAGCAGAAGATCCAGATGCCACCAAGATCTTCTCTCACTTTTGATAGACTTGATTAGGAGAACATGAGAATGAATATTATTGGTAAATGGGGATTTAAATATGGGGAATGAATATTATTGGTAAATGGGGATTTTGACCCTGCCGTTTTCTTCTTCTATTTCCCAAACCTACCATATTTTCTTTCTCCTGAGCTGTTGTTTAATGAAATGGACCATCTGAGATATGGTTCCTAAACATCACCCATTGCACCAAATAGATGATTTCACAGCTTGCTTCCGCTGGAAATTTTGTACTATTATTTTAGACTAGGTAACATCAAAACATCTCTGTTCTGAAACAAGAACTTTTCATGTGCAAAGCACTTCTTAACAATGTTTGCAAGATCAATAAATATAGGTGGGCTCATCCTAAGAATTCATCATCACAACACATTTTATGGCAATAACCATAACATTCAACATGGAGTTTCGGATACCTGGCACCCCAGCAATTTCAAAATTTCAAGGAAAGAATGACAGGGAAACCAGCTTTTATTCTACAGTGTAGACGTGTCATCAGTTTTTCTTGAAAAGAAGTTAACAACATTACTCCTTTTAAGTTTTAAGGGGTAAAATAATATTGTTGCCTAAAATGATATAAAATCTGGCTGCTTTTAAAGATTTCCAATCAAAATGTTCTGACTCATTCTCTGAAGCTCACACCTACTATTGGACAGATATATTAAATTTGCATTTACAAAAATGTATCTAATGTTTGAGGTAAAGATTATTGCAGGATTAGTGTCTGCTCCATATTATGGGATGGCTGAAGATTCAGTGCAGATAAGATTCCACCAGGTTAATATTGTTTCTACTGTGTGGTTTCTGTCTTCACCTCCTGAATGAGAGACGTTTAAAAATATTGTACCAAGAACTGCAGCTAAGGCAAAATGAATACATCTCTTATAGAAAGTCAATCTCCAGGCTCTCTCTCTCTCTCTCTCTCTCTCTCTCTGTGCGTGTGTGTGTGTGTGTGCTTCTTTCAATTTCTGGAAGGAAAATCTATAGAAGCTTAGATATTCTTTGCACCTAAAAAGCAAAGCAGTGTGAAATAGCATTTTTTCTGAGCTGCTGCATTTCCTTCCCCAATAATGTATGTAGTATGTGTGTAGGTAGGTAGATAGACATAAATGTGCTTTTTTTCCCCATTTAGGAAGTGTTCCTTCATTGCCGTGTTCTTGTGTGTGGAGTAACAGACAAGAGATCTCGCTGTGCACAGGGCTGTCACAGACGGATGCGCAGAAGAGCCCGATCACAAGAGGAAGGCGATCACATCGCACACCATATCCTGACAAGTGGCCCAATTAAAATTGATGTGCAAGAATAGATGTATGAATATATACATCCATAGATGGATGAACAGATGGAATAGATGTGTGAATATATATATCTATATGCCCTTCTTCCCCTTGAGTTCAAACTAGATATAGTCTACATCTCAATTCCGTTGCATGTGGCGGAGACGTTGAATGGGAAATTTGATTTTGTAGGGTCAAAGCAGAGTCTGCTTCACTTAGACATGATCAACCCTGAAGCTGGCCTGGACGAAGCCATCTTGGAGCTTCAGTGTTGCCACACTGGAGCGAGGGATTGGGAGGGGGGATTAGAAATAGCTGGGGTTGTGTAGTCAAAATATAATACTTTCTTTGGGGAACTAAGGATATTCTCACACCTGGCTGGAAGAAGGAGGAATGATGTCACCAGACCAGTGGACACTGCCTGATTGAGCATTGATTGAGCATGTGATTGATTGTTTGGGATTGGGGAGGAAACTTTTACTTTTAATTAGATGAAAACTGAGGGACCCTTCAGAGTTGGTTTTCACCAGATATGTGCCAATATGATATTTCCAATAAAGTTATTCTTTGAGGAATCCACCTGGGGCTCAGAGTTTTTGCTTGCAATGGATTTATTACTTGGAACCCTGACACATGATTTATTCAAAGCACAGCCAAAAATGCTCCTTTGGGGCATCCACAGCTCAAATGTCAAGTTGAAGCTACAGCTGTAACCGTTGAAGCCTTGCTCCCTTTTCTTTCTTTCTTTGACATACATGTCAACATTTTGAATTTCTGTAAAGCAGTTGTGACACTAGGATAACAGTTGGGAGTGGTGGAAATGTATCAACATATTAAATTGTCATGCTTAATTGTGTCTGTATGTTTTGAAAAGTTAACATCCTCATAGGCTGATGATTTATGATTTCATGGATCTAGGACCTTTCCCTACTGATCGGAGACAGGCACTGCCCTTATGCACCATCACAATACTTTGGGGCTCCTGGCAGTCTTTTCCTTCTCAACCAATTAAATTCAGAAGTTAATCGGCTACTGATCTAATGGAAAGGCATATTTGTGGCAGATCCTCCTAGAAGATCCTTCCCTAGAATAGGCAGTGCAGTTCCTTCTTGGAATTCCTATCTTCCTCAGTTTCCTGTTCCCAAGATTTTCCCTTCCCTTCTGAAATGAAAGTATTGATATGATAATTTACACTATCGCTCCACTACCTTCAGGCTGCTTTGAGAACTATGTTTTTTTTGTGCCACTGCAGAATGATCATATTCTTTTGAGAGAGAGAGAAAACACCTAACTTCACAAAAAGGTAAATGCAACATGAAAATAAGAAAGAAGGCGTAGGGTACAAGTTAACCTGGCACCCATAAGGGCGACTATTTGTAGCTCAGGGTTGAAATGAGGGGCTCTTGGTGGTCTCTGAGCTTGTTTGTTTTCTTGCAGACATTTCATTACCCAACTGGCTAACATCATCAGTGCTGCAAGAAAACAACCAAGCTCAGAGAGCACTAAGGACCCCTCAGCAATTAACATGCATTTTAATGATGCCCCGTTGGCCAGCTGCAGGAAGAGGAAGAAGAAGGGAAAGTGATGGTGCAAAAATGTTAGTGATGATTGGGTGGTTGTGTGAAAAGAGCAACAGGCATTCTGATGCTTTCCTAGCAGTTCCGCAAGCAGTGAGAACGTTCTTGGTGATCAAATCTCACCAGGCTCAAGTTTGACTCAGCTTTCCATCCTTCCGAGCTCGGTAAAACGAGGACCCAGATTGTTGGGGGCAATATGCTGACTCTGTAAACCGCTTAGAAAGCACCATGAAGCAGTATAGAAGTCTAAATGCTATTGCTAGTAACTTAACGGTGGTGGCAAGAAAGGTCGTAAAACGTGACAAAATTCACTTTAAAAATGTCTCGCTTAGCAACAAAAATTTGGGACCCAACTTTTGGCCATACATCAAGGACTAACTGCATTGGGATAATAACAATTTGTGGGAACCAAGGAAAGATTCCCGATGTCTTTCTCAGGATCACAGGAACAAGGGGGAAAGGGAAAATTTTCTTCAGGGGATGATGAAAAAGAACCAATCCTTCTGATGTAAAAGGTTGGCCGATGCAAATCCAATTACTGCAGTACAATAAAGCAGCTCCAAATACTTTAATCTCAGTAAGAAGGAGGTTTAATTCCATTACCCTGTGTTCTGGGGGGTGGGGTGGGGGGAAACAGTTTTCTTTCTTTAGAAAGCAATGGGCAATTGACCAGAATGCTTCAATTTTAAAGAGGAGGATATAGAAAAAGAATCAGGAGGCCCACAAGAGTTTTACATGTATGAACTATATATAGTTGTGTCACTTAAAGCTGTAGAGTACTAGTTAATTCTAAGTAGATAGGAAGTAAGTTCCTTGCAATCTCTGATATTATTTTAAGCTATATGTCTTATTTAATAAAAGTTTGGAATGCTCTGCATCTTACATTATTTTTTTTACCCTCATGTACCATTTATATTTTTTTTCTTATTATAAGATGATTTGTATGTTTTTTTACTCTTCTAAGGGAACAGTGATCTAAAGGGAAAATAAAATGAGCATTATGCACAATGACTTCATACTCCGATCTTCTTGATCTTCTCTCCTTTGTCTTCAAGCAGATGCCCACAACTCAAACTGAGTTCTGTAATGGATAATCCAGTCAATATTGATGGGCTTCTTTTTTTTTTTAACAGCAATGTGAGGTTTCCATGACTTTGTATCCCTTTGAAAAGCAAAAGCGACAGCCTCTGAGGAAAGCCGTGGGCTTATCATATACATATGGGCTGCAAAGGTGTATAATATTGTCAGAATCATCTTGCAGATCTTCTCTGATGCCTGGACCACTTGTGTCCATCTCAGCTGTTCTTCTTACATGACGAATCATCTCTAAATCAAGCCGATGCTCTGGGAAGTGGATAAAAGTCATTAGATAGAACAGAGGAGGGTATTGGACCAAGCCATTCCATTGCTTTTGGGGGGATTCCTTTCTCAATCATGCTGGCTTGACAATTAATGCCTGGGTGTTCACCAGCCTTGGGATTGATTCCCAAGGCCCAAAGTTAAGATACTTATGTGCTTGTTCCAGAAGACAGAAGACCAAGCTTCATGTAAACAAAGGACACCAGAAGCCACCGTTGTCACGCTACCAGACAGCTTGATGGTCATTTTCACAATTCGTCTCGTTCTTCTTCACTACAGATGCAGGCACTTCTTTGGCTGTTCATGAAGGGACGGCAACCCAAGGTCCTGACTGTTTGGAATATCGTATCGGCTATGGATTCACATGCTGTAGCAAAAGAGAACGAGATCAAATCCATCACACCCTTTCTTTTATAAGATGACTGGGATTTCTTTTCCTTAGACTAGGGGTCTCCGACCTTGGCAACTTTAAGCCTGGAGGACTTCAACAAAGCTGGCTGGGGAATTCTGGGAGTTGAAGTCCTCCAGGTTTAAAGTTGCCAAGGTTGCCAAGGTTGGAGACCTCTGCTGTAGACCATAGAAAAGCAATCAAGATCTGACTCAACAAACTCCAGAACCTGAGCCTAATGTTTCCATGCCACGCCAGCAAACAGGGCCTTGCCGTTCCCCAAAGCAACAGTTTTCTTATTTTACAAAAGCTTCCAAAAATGCATTCAATATCCAGTTATGATTGAATATAGGTCTCCTGCTTGAGCAGGGTGTGTGTGTGTGTGTGTGGACTAGATTAGAAGACTTCCAAGATCTCTTCCACCTCTCTTCTGATTGATTTTAATTTTGAAAAGGTGCAGGACTCACCTCAGGAACATTTGCTATAATAGCATTATAACTATAGCATTGACAGAAACATGGGATAAAGATACCTTTAAAAAAAAAAAAAAAAGCACTTTGCCCCTTTATTTTAATACTAGCTCGATACCCGTGCTTCACTATGCAACTATGTGGTTGGGCTTAGCTTTTGGGAAGGCAAATAAGGGGGGTGGAAATTCTGCTTCTGCCTACCAGCATCCATCGGTATTCATCTGGCTAGCGTCCTGTCAGTGTGTGAAAGAGTTGAGGGCTATTTGGAAACTGAAACAGTATTTGCTGTGTGAGCAAGAAGGAGATAGCAAGGAGCCTGGGCATGGCTTAGCTCAACTGTTCCGTACTAAAGCTGCTTGCTGCTGTAAAACTAAAACTGAAACTCCTCTCCTCTGCTTGTGTTTTGCATTTAAAAGAGATTTCTTTTCAGGTGGGGGAGGGGGAGTAGAAGGCCTTAGCATCAGAGCCTGTTAATAATAATATAGGAAATGCCAATGCTCTGGTGGTCATTTTGCAAAATCCTTTCTGAGTGAGCACCTAGAAGCCAAGAAGAACAATAGGTGCCAAATTTCCAAGTTTGTAGGCTTTATGGTTCTGGAGATTTTGTGGTGATGTGTGAGTGGTATTTTGCTTTTATATATATATATAAAGAAATCATATATATCAAGAAATCATAAGCTGCCCAATACTACGTTTCTCACCAAGGGCATTTCTTCTTGAGCCCCAAAGGACTTTTATCTCTAAAGGGGTTGCCACCATTCTGGTTGGTCCTAAGAGGTGCGTGAGCTGGACCTCAGGTTTTGTTGCAGGCTTAGCAGAACAAGTACATCTTTGCCACTCAGCCATTCTTGGCAGTTCTTTGGTCCCTCAAACACATTGGAAACAGTCCAATTTCTCCTTTCTCTGGCACCTTTGAGATAAATTGGATTCTAAATTCTTTCCCATTAGCGGGAGGATTCAATAAGCTGCAAAAGGCTGTCATTGTCCCTTTTAATTTGGCACGATAACATGCTAAAAATATAGTAAAGATTGCCATTTTTTAAAAAATAAAAGCTCTTGTTTTCTGGGAGCGTGAAAGAGAATGAGCTGATCTAGAAACATGGCGATGAGGAAAGTGGTTTCAATAATTTTTTTTTCTATGCCATTTTCCTTTTTTAAAAAATCCCTCCTTCCCCTGTTGCCACATTGTCACCCTATGGCTAAATTTCAGCCCTCTTGATAATTTTAGGGTCACTTTATCCTAAACCTTTATCTATCTAGTTAAGGCAGAATTTTTAATAGGTGTGCCTAAAATGCTTTTTCACAGCTCTAGGCTTTTGTTCAGAAACACTTTGGAAATCACCAGTACCATCAAGACTATCAAACTTAACATGGCAAACCATTGTATACAAACAGAGAACAAACTCCATCTCTTCTAGCACTGAAGATGTTTCCTTGTTGGGTCATGAAACATCTGCAAGAAAACAACCATGGAACCCAACTCTGTGGAAATCATTTCTGTCCAATTCATCCAACGTGAAAGATCGAAAACAAGAGGTGCTCAATCCCATTTCACAAAGAAGGGAAATGGAAAGGACAACAGTATCTATGGAGAGGTCCAAAAAAAAAAGTTAGCATAAGGGGTGCAGATGGATGGTCAAGAATCAAGAAAAAATAGTGAAGTTTCAGTCATGCGGTCATGACCATGTCCTGTCATTTTTAGGACCTTTTTTTCCCCTGGAGGGGAAGGAAAAGAGAATCCAATCTGGTTCGGTTACAGGGACGAGAGGTTTTGTCTTCTGAACTTTCAGACTTGTGAGAAAGCCAGTCTTCAAGGAGCTTCTCTCTAGCCAGAAGTTCCCTAAAGATGGGCTCCAGGATAAGTCCAAAACAGAGGTGGTATTCAGCAGGTTCTGACCAGTTCTGGAGAACCAGTAGTGGAAATTTTGAATTGTTCGGAGAACTGGCACATGCCACCTTTGACTGTCCCCTCCCCATCTCTTCTCTGCCTCCCATCGAGTCTCAGCTGATCGGCTGGGTCTTCTTTGGTTGCCCTGCACAGGAGAACGGAGCTGGAAAGCAGGTTAGTGGGGTGGGGAGGGAGCGGGGATTTTGCAGTATCCTTCCCCAGGAGTGGGGTGGGAATGGAGATTTTATAGTATCCTCCTTCTCCTACCATACCCACCAAGCTACGCCCACCAAGCCACACCCACAGAACCGGTAGTAAAACATTTGAATCCCACCACTGGTCCAAAAGCTCGGAAGACAAAACCTCTTGGTCCTGGTGACTGATTGAGATTGGATCCTGCAACATTCTCTTGGAATACATCTAATATATTCACTTTCATTCATGGAAAGGAAAATAGCGTTAGGTGGGAAAACCCAAGGAAAAGGAGAAACGGAGTCATTTTCAAAGCTGCCTCTGGTATGGTACTTGCGAACTTTCAGGCATGTTAGAATACAGAACACCGAATCATAGGGCTGGAAGGGAATTCGGTGGTCTTCTTATTCAACCCCTTGCTCAAGGCAAGAGACTCTATACCATTCCAATTAAATGGTTGTCCAGTCTGTTTTTGAAAACTTCCAGTGATGGAGCACCCACAACTCCAGGAGACATGCTATTCCATTGATTAATTATTCTCAGTGCAGAAAATTTCTCCTTACTTCTAGGTCGGATCTTTCTTTAACAAGCTTCCACCCATGACTTCTTACCCTGTCCTTTGGAGACTCAATCTAGTGACAGCCCCTCCAGTACTGGAAGACAGCTATCATGTCCTTCTTAATCCTCCTCTTTGATGGGCTAATCCTATTTAGCTCCCTCAACTGTTGGTCATATGATTTAAACTCCAGACCCTTCATCATCTTTGTTGCTCTTCTCTGCACACTTTCTAGGGTCTGGACATCTTTTCTGTAATATGGTGGCCATTATTCAGACGATTGGAAGGCCTTGAGACTAAAACATACAAAGAACGGTTGCAGGATTGGGGTATGGCTAGGCTAGAAAGAAGGAGGACTGGGGTGACATGATAGCATTATTCTAGTATTTGTGGGGCTGCCACAAAGAAGAGTGGGGTCAACTTATTTTTCAACGCACCAGAGAGAAGGACAAGAAAGAATGAATGGCAACTACCTGGAATTAAGGAGAAACTTCCTAACAGTGAGGACAATTCATCAATGGAACAGCTTGCCTCCAGAAGTCGTGGGTGCTTCATCACAGGAGGCTTTTAAGAAGTGCCTGGACTGGACGGTCACTTGTCTGAAATGGTCTAGGGCCTCCTGTTGCTCTATTCTGACTGACTGGATGCAGTATTCCAAGTGTGACCTCATTGATGGTGTGGTATAGAGCAGTATTATCACTTCTTATGATCTTAACACTATCCTTCTGTTCTGTTGATGCAGCCAGGATTGCATTGGCTTTTGGGGGCAATGGCAACACATCGCTGGCTCGTACTCAGGTGGTGATTACTAGGACAGGGGTCTCCAACCTTGGCAACTTTAAGACTTGTGGACTTCAACTCCCAGAATTGTAAGCTGGCAAAGCTGGCTGAGGAATTCTGGGAGTTGAAGTCCACAAGTCTTAAAGTTGCCAAGGTTGGAGATCCCTGTAAACTAGGACACCTAGATTTCTTTATGGAAGGAGATTTGTCAAAAATATCAAACTACCATTTTCCTTATAGGTCTGAAATAAAGAGCTGGAGACTAGAGTATTGGGAAAATGGAGATGCAGCATGTCTAAACATTTCTGACCTCGTAGGAAGATAGAGGGACTTTCATACTTCTGTGCAGAAGTATCCTAAGTCTTGGTAAAAAAAACCAACTATTTTCCCCACTGTGGTTTCTTCTTCCTGGCTTCTGAAATGATTTATGAGAAATAGTTTCTTCTTTTCAGAAGAGTTTTTTACTTCTTGGCGTTCTAGCCAATATTTATAACTTTATTCACCTTTATTAACTAGTAGAACTAATCTGGAAAAGGTTTTTGGCAACATGATTTAAAATATATAGCTTTATAAATATGCATGAGACATTTGCTAAAAGAAAAAAAAGAACATCTCCTTCCAAATAAATACTTAAAGGAGGATTAAAAAGAAAGAAGAGAGAAATTCAAGGCAAGGAAAATAAATACAGAATTCAAGGATCAAATATTTAAAAGGGTGTCTAGATCTGTGAGACAGCAGAAAATCATATAACTGGAAGGGAAAGTGCTTCCGAATTAAAAACATGGGTTTCATTATTTCTTTCAACTAAATTAATTTTGAAGGCAGAATATAGCAAAGGTTTGGAATCTAGAAACCTAATATTTTCAGAGCTAGCTGTAATATGCTTGGATATTATAATTTTTAAAAGAAGTGTATATTAATTCAGAAATACAAATTAGATTTTCTGTTCTAGTTAGCATGATTCAGCATTTTGGGGAATTTATTCAGGCTAAGGCTAACTGAAGCATAAATTTAGCTAATGTGAAATAGAGTTTATTAACCATCCAATCATTTTTTTCTACAGGATGTGCATTTATGATTTGTGGCTTTGTTT